GTGTGTGTGTGTGTGCCCACCTACCCTGTCATTAGCACTCTCTGTTGCTTCTGTGGTCCAGCTCTGCTCCAAAGGCTGCTGACTTCCTGCATATAAATGAAGAATGAAAAGAAATCTGAGCAGATATATTGAAATTTAAAAAAAAAAAAAAAAAGAAATGGACAGGGGTGAGTTGAGTCTTGTGGCCTGGTAGACTACTGAACATGTGACTGACACACGTACATACACACCCACCACCCGACCGTACGTGTGCCTTATCTCAAAGATAAATGGAAAGGAAACATTGACCTTAGGGTGTGAAAATTCACTTCCCCTTCCATAACACATACATTGTTAATGTATTGCACATATCTTGATACCTTTTATCAAATGTTTCATTTGCTGTCATACATATTTTGATATGTTCATCATACATATACATACAATATATTCCGTGTTTCAACTGTGAGCGTTATTATGCCTATGTGTCCTTAGCACTGTCCTTATTTACATTCAGTCTTTTTTTAATTCCCACTAAGGATGCAGGAGATGTTGTTGGCAACTTGCCTGCTGCAACAGCACTGAAACACAGAGGACAAGGTGTTGCAATAAGACTGACTCCGCACACGCTAAAAGATTAAAAACATCTAAAAGACAATTTTAAAGAAATGCAATTTGAATAACAAGATAACACGTTCAATTATGAGTAAAACGCACGGGATCCTCCACCCCACCTTTTCTATACCTTGCTCTACCTCTCTCTGTGTACAATCTATAAATAGCATCAGTGGTATTAATTCTACTAAGACCAGACAGGTTCAGTCAGGGCTAATCCTGGCCCACCCCAAGTTTCACCTCCAGTCAATAGAGCAGTCAACGCAGCTCTTAACATCCAGTTGAGCAGATAAAATAGCATCTTAAAAGACCTTAAAACAGTAATTACATTCAACTGAAAAGTTATATAAATACTGGAGACTCAAAAGAGACAGTTAAAATACTGTTAATGATGATGTACTGACAGATGTGTGTGTCATTATGTCAATCATTTACATCAAAACTCATCCCATTCTGGTGCTGGAAACAGGGGGACCGGGGGGAAAAGCAGTAGGTGCCAATATGATTAATAACTTACTCTAGATGTTACCCTGCGGCTAAACCTATTACAGACCTGCTGACATTTAAACTGTGACTGGATGGAAACTTGCCCTAAAGTCAGCTCACTGCTGAAAGAACATTTGGCAGGAAGGAGCACAGCTGTAGCATAAATGGTTTAAACAAAGGTTTAGAAACAGATACTAAAGGTCAGATATTATAATAAACAATCCAAACACACAGATGGGAAAACCTTAAAGGCCTCTATGACTGAAAAACAAAAAATCTGGCTAAAAAAGTGTTATGATTAATTTATTATTCAGAATACACTTCACAGTTCACAAGCTTACAATAATAATGAGATTCTAATGAATGATAATTATGTTTTTCATGAATGGGGGAGAAAAGGGAATGCACCAGCAGGTGGTGAGGGTTGTCCTGTCCCTGCAGGGAGCACACGCAGACACAAAAACATACCAGTGCTACAGTCCGGTGACACTATTACAGCAGAAACCCTGCTGTTGTTCCCTTCGGGCACTAACATGCACAAATATTACATAATCATTTGTTCTTTCTTTGTTCAACAGAGAAAAGAAAACCATTGGCCACATCTGTTTTATTCTGCATGCTGAATCGATATATACATATTTTTAATGTTGATGAGCTGATTTCACAAATTCATTCTCTAAAGCTATTTTGGCAGGAAATCATCTGACCTTTCTGCAGCAGGCCAAACATTTTTCTGTCCTTGTCTATGTCCCCCCTCCTCTTCACGTTTGCCCTGTCCATGTTATGTAACTCTAATCATCTTATCTGGCTAATTACTGACCGAGCCCCTGACATCTCCTCTAAACCTCACACACACACACACACACACACACACACATCACCGGCTCTCCGTGTTTGTGTGTTTTCTGAATGTGAGTGACTGATGCTCAACACAGAAAACAAAATGTAATCTACCTGAAAGCTGTTCTTGTCAGTCAGCATTATTCCAACTCGTTTAAGGAATCAACTGGTACGTGTGTTTGTTTTGCTGTACCTTGTGTCCCGGAGGGGCAGTGTCTGAGGTAGAAGCTGACCTCCGGCCTCCTGGCTCCCCACTGCTGGAGGAGATCCAACAATAACAACTCCAGAGGGAGAACTCGCTCTGAGGAGAGACAGAGGGTGAAAAGACATTAGCCAGGCGTTTTCAGAGTGAGCCTTTTTGTGATTAATCCAGAGGAGCCAAGAGATGATTCATAAATGAGATCATCATATACCATCAATTACCATTAATTATACTATTAAGGAATCCTATTTAATGTTTTCTGACTGAAATAAAACAAGTTTGATATTCTCTATTTTTTCCCATCTTATGCTGGCTATGGTTATATCATCTAGTAAAAGTATAATATATATGTTTATATTTGATATTCATTTTCTTATGATTTTACCCTATTTCTGTTTGTATTAAAGGGGAACTTGGCAA